TGTGTTTTTCAAATGTTCATATAGTTAGTTTCATGCTTTACAGTGGCAAATATTCTTTTTCTGGAATCGCCAGCCGGAGTCGGGTTCTCTTATACAAATACCAGCTCCAATCTCAAGGACTCTGGCGACAGAAGGACTGGTAAAAAACTGCAGTTTTTGTTAGTATGATGTATAATGGTGTCAAAATAGGCGTGACCATTTAGGAACAGATTGACCAGCATTTGTGTCGGGTCCATAGCTCAGTCCTAGCCCCAATATTGTCCAAAATCCCGGCTAGGCCCGGACCGTGTCTTCAGTAGTGCAAGTTTGGACCGGCCTAAGAAGGGGCCATTTGAACCGCCCCTCATTTTGACACCACTTTGTGAGTATGTTATCAATTGTCCATCACCAATAACATTTGCCCTATCATGCCACAGCTCAGGATGCCCTAGTTTTCCTCTTAAAATGGATGTCAAGATTTCCGCAGTACAAACACCGAGATTTCTACGTATCCGGAGAGAGTTATGCAGGTAAACACTCAAAACACTTGTATTATTCTCTCCAAAAGCAATAAATTTCAGAATTTTTCTAGTGACATAAATTCTTTTGCCTCACAGGGCATTATGTACCACAGTTAGCAGAGAAAATATATGATTATAACAAAAGATCTTCCTATCCAATCATCAATCTTAAAGGATTCATTGTGAGTAATATTCGAAAATTCGTAAGATTTCCATATTTTCTCATAAATATAACTACTTCACGAAGAACATATCAAATTATATTTGAAACATGTACACAGGTAGGAAATGCAGTCACAGACAACTACTATGATAGCATTGGAACAGTTACTTATTGGTGGAGCCATTCTATGATATCGGATAGAACATATAATTCGATTATCAAATTGTGCGATTTCAAGTCAGAAAATTCGTCCCAGAAATGTGATGATGCTATCAATTATGCTATGAATCATGAATTCGGCGACATTGATCAATACAGCATCTATACGTCATCTTGTAAGGCAATGCAAGATAGTACTAAGCATACTGTAAGGCTTAAGAACACTCTAATACGCCCAAGGTTTTCTGGATACGACCCGTGTACTGAGAACTATGCAGAGAAATACTATAATCGACCAGATGTACAGAAGGCTATGCACGCAAACAAAACAGGAATACCGTATAAATGGACTGCTTGCAGGTAATTTAGTCGACAGCAAAGCAAAAGATTAAAAAAAACATCAAATTTATAATACCTTCATACTTTATTTGACAGTGATGTACTTATAAGGAACTGGAAAGACTCCGAGGTTTCAATGCTGCCTACCTACAAGAAGCTGATTGCCGCAGGGCTCAGAATATGGGTTTTCAGGTCTGACTATACAATTACCGAAAATTCTGTAAATGTAAAAAATATGTAGAATCACAAGTACTTTGGTGACATTAAGTTGGGACATTAGCATACAATAAGCAGTAACTTTACATGAATTTGATTGTAATGCAGCGGGGACACAGATTCAGTAGTACCAGTTACTGCAACTCGGTTTTCCTTGAGCCATCTAAATCTCAAAGTCAAAACTCCCTGGTACCCTTGGTACTCTGCTAGTCAGGTAGTAAAAATACACATGTATATGTGTACGTATACGTTCTTAGTACAAAATGTTGATGCTAAACTAGCTTGATTTATATACAGGTAGGAGGGTGGACAGAGGTTTATGAGGGGATAACATTTGCTACAATTAGAGGAGCAGGACATGAAGTACCACTGTTTCAGCCTAGAAGAGCTTTTATTCTTTTTAAGACATTCTTGGCTGGCAAAAACTTGCCAAGATCTTGAATAGTTTCATAGAGAATGTAGTTTTTAAGAAGTTCGAATGCTGTTACAAGTTCATCATCATCACCAGTTCATCCTTCCCACAAAAAAGAGAATTGTGGTGAGGTTACTAGAATAGAGGTCATTCAATTCAAATTGTACTTGAATTATAATTCTTCATTGTTGTCAAACTTCATTACAACTTGATTTATGTCGTACAACTAAGAACATGAACAGGAAATATGAGGTGTAAATGATAAATTTTTAACAGAGACGTATAATCAAAGGATACACAAATGACAGAATCCATAACGAACAAGCAGAATACATGCACGAGCGAGAGCTCATTGCAGCCTCTTTTATTTCAGTGTGCATGGGCTGTTGATTACCTGAAGACAATTGTAATTGAAATGACCCCATAAATTTTCTTCTTCTTTTTTTTAACCTTTTTCCTTAGTTGCATGAGTTTTTTTTTCTTTTTCCTTTTTTTTCCTTCAACCAATTATGAAAAATATACTTTACAGGGCAAAATATAGGTGACAAGGCAAAATATAGGTGACACAAGTGTTCAAATAAAAAATAATAAAAGGATTCTGGAAACGGAGATTAGTTTCTTGATGTGAGTTGGAACTTAGATAGATACCATGAATTTACTTGTCATTCCATCTTCTAATTCACTTGTATAAACTGCTAAATAGGATTTATAGTCGAATGTGACTTTAATTGGAAAAC